AAACCCAGCCTGATCGTGGATATATGACTTCAACCAACTGCTGATGGACATGAAGTGTATGACTACATTGTAAAACACTACCTCTTGAAGTCTTGAGACCGTAATTATGACATGTTTTACAAACATATTCTCCACGATAGTCCACAACCTGAGGTCGTCTGCATCCTGAAACATCATCAGCAAAGCTTGCTGCACTTCCAGGCCTGCTAAGTTCCAAGGCGTTCCAAGGTCTGATCCAGTTGGTCAGGGGTGGAGTGCACCCCAGGCCGCATGCCGCACCCAACGCCGGGTGGGCCAACGCATGGCGGGTATTTTTGGAGAACCCGACTCGACTGGTCACCAATGGTTGGACATGGACATGGGCCCAAAACTTAATTAGAGACCTGGCAGGCAGTGAGTGTCCTGGTATATATAGTTATATTGGACCCTCTGTCATAGATAGAAGTTCGTAGATCCCCACGTAGAAAATGTCTTGGACACCGTGCAACGGTCATCTATTTGGGGACTACAATATACCCTAGGGCTCCAACTATATCCTCAGAACGTGGTTAGACCCCCAAACCCACCCCAACCACCTTCTCAGGAGGTGGTTGGAGCCCTAGGGATAGTTGGTACAGGTGCTGAGGTCCCTTCACATTTCTCTTGACTTGTGAAACGGCAGTGGTTGCTAAATGTGTGAGCTGGATCGACTTGCTCTCCAAACCTTTTGCGAAAAGTCAAAAAGTCTCGAAAAGTGAGAGAAGTCGAAAAGTCAAAAAGTATCAACAAGTCGAAAAGTCTCGCTGCGTGCTTTCGTTTCCTTTACCTTTTTGACGTTTTGCGTGTTGCTTGGTGTCTTGCAAATAGATCGTCGCTAAAGGATGTCTGCGAGCTGAAGCGAAACGGGCCAGGTGGACTTCTGAGAAAAAACCGTGATCCAGGCGGCCCGATGTAAAGCAGTCTCATGTAGAGTCTTGATTTATGACCCCCCCCTAAGTTGTTCAATCAATCTCCTTACCAACATCCTCATGTAGCACATCCTCATCCCAACTGAATACAGGCGATTAGACTCTGATTAGACCCTACGGCTCCAACCACCTCCTGAGAAGGTGGTTGGGGTGGGTGCCAGGGGGGTCTAACCACGTTCTGAGGATATAGTTGGAGCCCTAGGGAGAAGTCTTCCCTTGTCACTGGCTCCACATCTGTGGTCGGCGACCTCCGCCCAACCATTGCAACGTGAGGTTCACGGACGCCCCCCCTCCCCAACTGCTTCGAACAACGATTCCACACACACACACACAACAGCTGTCCTTAGTTAATCTCCTTGACAGGAATCCCACTAAGTTTCTCTCTCTTTAGTCCCCTGCTAAGGGGGTTCAACCTTGGAAATGGTTAGTTTCGTATTTGGAAGTCTGAGCGTACACTCAATCTGCAGGTCTTAGCAAGGAAACAGGTCACACATGTCACCCGACGTCCACTTCGATTTCCACCAAGACGCTTGGTGTTGATGATCGGGATTCCTAGCAGCCCACGATTCACCTTGGATCCCAACCAGGCTTCTGTGAAGGTATTGGACTATATTGTACATTGTTGATGTTGTAGACAACCATGAGACAACGCAGTCGGTCAGCGACCATGTCTTTCCAACAGACAAGCAGCCGCCCCTTGGTGAGACCATGAAAAACCAAACACTCCATGGGTCCATGGGTCTGACAGATTTACCAACATTGACCCCTTTTCAACTACAAACTCAATGTAGGCAAGTTCCATACATGGGGATACCATCCAATGATTCACTGGTCAAACCCATGAACCGAATCCACCCAATTCTGTTAGTGGCAAGGCGAGGCCTGGGGAAAACTCCTGGTCTATTCAGCAGCTGTTTTCGACCAAGTCACATAGAAGAAGCGATTGCTCGGATCGATGTCCTTTCGAGGCGCTTGAGAAGCTATGCCAAAGGTATCAATGAACATCCGGCTGGAACCGGGTCTGATTCAAATAGGAACTGGGTCTTCAAGTTGCGTGCATCCACGCAACCATTTCTAGCCCAAAACCTTTTGCCGCCATGGGAGTTTGGCGCTTTTCAGATGAAGATGATGATGAAGAGGAGAGCTGACTAAAGCCTACTTTAGATTCTAGATGTCTTAAGTCTGCCAGGACCTGACGCAACGCCAGCGAGAGTATCTGGATTGCGGGGCCTCTTTTGCAGACGCCCTGGGTTACTTGGAGTGAAGGTGATATGTTGAATATGGTTCAATCTACTTCTTGTAAATTCACTGTGGATCCAGGTTTGCAATGGTGGCTATCCTGCTGGCGGGGATCGTTTGGCTACATGTCAGACTGCAGCTAGGCATGAAAAGGCATAGATCACCCACAATTCAAAAGAGTGTTTTTCTATAGTCCATAATTCAGGCAGCGGCATGGACACGGCCCTTTTCGCACTACGGTCTTTGCTGGGAAAGAGGTTTCATGTGACCTACTGGATTCTTGGCAAAAGGGCGGGGGTAAAGATTCTACTTTCCTTGACTTACTTGTGATCTTTTTGTGGGCGTCTTCAACTCAGGAGCAATTCAGAGCGGGATCCTAGCGCTCGCCAGTTCTTGGAGAAGAATCTGGAACCACCAGTGGTGGCGTAGCTTGGCAAAACCCGCACAGGCTGCTTATGTATATCATATAATGTTGTTTGATGCACCCCAAATCAAATAAGGTCATATAACGATGTTCACCATGTGGAAGGAGCATTGATGAAGAAGAAGGCGATTCGGGTTTAGCCATTGATGGATGTTTTCCATTATTTTTCCTGGCAGGTGGGCCTGTATACAGCGGGCTTCCCTTGTACTCCCTACAGCTACCTTCACCACAACTCTGCACTGCTCGGCGACAAGAACTCTTCCCAACTGTATGCTGTAGTGCAAAACTTCAAGAACAGCAAGCCTGCAGTGCCTTTGTCATAAATATTATATAATAATGGGTTATTGAACCTTTATGGATGGACAAACCCAAATACCACTCCAAATACCTAATGCGCCCCGAAACTAAGTTGGGCCTACTTGAGAATGTCATCGGGTTTCTTCGAGTTTGGGATGAAATTCGTGATCTCCTGCATCGAGAGCTACCTGAGACGCTCGGAATTGTTTGATTTTTAACACATTGCTTTGACACGTCGCTTTGTGAAACATAGAAGGCATTTCACTGTGTGGTTCCACCCTCTGAGGTACACAATTGCTCTCTTCCGGCTCAATGCGTGGCTTGGACACACCGTGTGAACAAGGGGTTGGAATGTATTGATTGGTATGTGGTTTCTTTGCAAAGATAGCCCCGTGATTTGAGGAAAGACTTCGGTTGCCCCATTGCACGCGACCGATGCTACATCTTGCTCGTGAGGAAGGAGCTGATGTTGAAGAAAGCTGCGTGTGATCTCACCGCTTATGCAAACGAAGTGATCTCGAATATGAAGCTACCACGGGTGTGCCACTGGTGCCCTGGCAGCAGTGCCCAACATGCATCCAGCCGCTATTCTGTTTGAGCTGTCCGAATTAAGGATGAGCCTCTTGTTTCCCAACAGCCATCCAGAGGTGGTCAAAAGCATGAACAAGAGAGCAGAACGCAGTGCAAGAAACCTGAAGAAAGGGAAACTTGGATCTTTGAGTTCTTTGCAGCTAATCAACAATGATTTGTCGGTCTTTGGTACCAAGGAAACTGCTACAGGCAAAATGGGTACAGCACCACAGAAAGTTTGTCCGCAAGAACTTCGTCGCAGCCTCAAAAAAAAGAAACTGTTCAGCTGCCTCTAAGTAGAATGAGTTGGAACCCCTCATCCCTTTGAGGTTGACAAGAAGGCCGCACAAATTCGGGGATCCTTTCGCCGAGCCTTCCCTGAAGCAGCGCATCAAATCACCACCCATCGTGAGCTGGATGCGTCTAGGCACAACCCAAGTATTCAATTCTCATTGATCCATCTCTACCAAAACGGACTGGCATCCGAGGCTTTGGACAAGATTACCGCGCTGACAGATTCCCTTGCATTACGTAACCTGGCCTAAGTGAAGCTCATGGAATGTCTTAACGCGAGGTACACCAAATCAATTTTTTGATGCTCAGGCCCAATGGCTCATTCTATCTTGCGAAGAAGAATCGGTACCTCTGCGGTGCCTCCCTCAGCTGCCAATCCTTCCTTCTGACCCTCACTCCATGATCCTGACGTGAGGCCGAGAAGCACTTCTACTCATGGGCCTCCCGATCCATGCTCTGAAATTGGAATCTTTCAGTGACAGGGTAGCTTGGATGCACATGCTCGTGTCATGGATTTGACTGGGGAACAAATCTGGGTTTTAAGCAAAATAAGGCCCTGATGAAGCTGGCAGGAAACGGCATTGCCATGCGACCGCTTCTGGTGGCTATTGGGGTGTTGCTGAGATCTGTGCACCCACACAAGATGCGGGAGTATTTGGACACTGTCTGAATCATCACCCCCCCCCCGTGGCGCCCAGAAGAAAACAGCACCTCCGAAACTGCATTGCAGTGTACTCCTTTCTTTTGAATGTGTGATTGTTGGGTGATGTCACATTGCATTTGTCGTTAGGCAGGCCCTAAGGAACAGGAATACATATATCACTACATATATCATCCGTCAAAATGTCTCAAAACATAGTATCTTAATATATTATAAGAACCTGTCAATCATTGCATTCGTGGGTCGACCTTTTTTGCACACCCTGCCAATTCCATCAAATGCCGGTCCTCGCTCGGTGGGATGACGAGAAGGATGAGCTGCGCTCTTCAAGGACTGTGCAACGGGTTGGAGCTTGGCGATACGAATCGTCTGATGAGCAATCATCCGGGGGTACTTCAACCCATGATTCTGATGAGAGCGCAGGGATCCTTGGTTTTGTTGAAACACAATTTTACTATTTAGGACAAATTATGACAAGTATGACCCCTGTTCGCCTGAAAAGGGAATGCCAAACTTAAGGGAATCCAGTGCCGCAGAAGAGCTTCCGAGTGAAACTTCAGAAGTTGCTATGAAACTGACCTACTTGGAAGCTTTCCACACTCATGGTGAAGAATGTGACCAGTCAAAATATGCTGCCAATGGGATGGACGATGCACGGTTGAAAGCCTTAATCAAATCCCCTCCATGTGATTGTGGTTGCGTTGTGCCTTTGTCTACACTTCGCCGGGTTTGCAGAACCTTTTGGTCGATGGAGAAGGCCAACCAAGATGCTGTCCTATGGAGCCTATTGAGCACCTCCGGTCGAAAGAAAACATGGACAATAGAAGGACTTGTGTTTGTCTTAGTCTTTTAATGTGTCATGTTCCCATGATTTCGTATAAGGCATGATGGTGTGAAATAAAGTTCTTGCATGTAAGATGTATGAAGTGTGCAGGACATGAAGTGTGCAGGGAGTCGTGGCTACGTTATATGGGCATAGGCAAGCAAAGGCTTCAGCGCACCAAGAAACGGCAGCGTGGTCTTGATGAGAGGACACTCAACCGACGAAGCTTGGCTCATGCACTGCAATCATGCACTGCAATCAATCCACTACGCCAAGATCTTTGTTTGAGGTTCTGATTCAGCTCACCCAGCAATGCAAACGGCTTATGTGATGGTATTTTTTGAGCACCTCTACTGGACAGCCGGAGAAACAATGGTGACAAAGCGGCCAAGCTAAATTAGAACAACAAATTAAAACGCTATGATACGCTGTAATTTTATCATTGATTGGGCAACATTTGATTTCTAAATCAGGTCAGCTGAGACTGATGACAAAAATGCTGATTTTGATTCGGATGACGAGCTGCTCAGACTTCTGATCGATCGGCATTTGATGGGTGCAACACGGGAGATCCTCCTTGAGGAAAGGGATCTCTCCAAGTTGCCGGTGAGGGAGCTGCCTCCAAACACTTACAGTGGCTTGTACATGATGTATGTCGCATGGGCACGAAATGGCAATCAGCCTCCATCTTCTCGAAGCACTTTTTACACAGTTGCGCAGTCTTGGAAGGCTTGCCTTCGCTTCAGGCATGCATCTGAACATTCTTTGTGTATGACGTGCTCTGCATTGAAGACACAAATCCGCGAGGCAAAGGTCTCAAGCTGAGTTGAAGTGTGGCTTCATCACTCATATTGAGTCCGATTGCATATTGACTCCATCCAAGGAGTTCTCTTTGCACTCAACCCTTTGCTACCAGCTCATGAAGCACTATGAATCCCAGTGGAAAAACAGAGAGGTCTACTGGTGTGCGCGTCAAAGGAGCCAGACGGTTGGCGATCTTTTAACCCTCATCGTTGACAGCTATGACAAAAGTAAGCTATGCCTTCCAGTGTTTCCTCTTAAAAGATCGCCCAAACGGGCCGTCTACGAGCTGTGCAAAAGAAGCTTGCTTGTGATGGATAGATTCTATGTAACTTGTTTCATTTTAAGGGCATTGAAATCATTGGACATTCATTGGATTATAGATTATAGTTTGTTTATACATTGTTTTGCAACTGTTGGTGACTGTGGTCATACTATTGCAGCCCAATTGCTCTGGAACCAAGGAGTCTCATTGACGCTGACAGCAGTCATATGCCACGGATTTGCTACCTACTTCTATATTTGCGACGAGGGGCAGAGTGCTGGCTCCAACTGGCAGTGGGAGTGTGCTACTTGGCTGAAAGCTGCGGTGTAGAGAGAGAGAGGGATCAAATATGATTGAAACCCCTCCTCAAGATTCAGGTCATGAGATCTCTCCAGAAGGTTTACACGTTGACACGTCGGCGCAACGTGCCCTTCCCAAAGGAGTCGCTTGGCTGGCTGACTTCATAAAGTTCAATTAATGGCAGAGTGTTTTGAATCGCTTTATTGTTTCTGGGTTGTAAGCTCTGCTCAAACCACTTCAGGCTGTGGATTCAGGCAGATAATACAGTCAAGGAAATGAAGAACCAGTGGTGTGGTAAAATCTGCAGCACATTAGCTCAATGTGCCTTCGAAAGCACGACACAAGGGCACTTGGAAGTCGGACATACTCATGAGGATGTCGATGGCTGCTTAGCGTATTGCAAGAGAGCATTGTCGTGCGCAGCCGACATCCAAACTCCTGCAGATGTAAAGAGGGTGCTGGAAAACAGAATGACAAAGATGTTTGCAGCAAGGAATCAAGACTTTGAAGTCGAGCTGGTATCAGCAGTGACTCTGTCATGGTTTGGTTGTGATTTGAAGTGATGTTGATGTTGTTGTCCCCAACCTCAGTCAGTCTCAGACTATTGAACACATGCAAGGTCAGGAAGTGGACGTCTTTGGTTCCCAACGATGTTACGCTGAAGAACTGCTACAAGGTCCGCAAGCACGATGAGCATGACGCATCGAAAGTTCAAACCCCGGTACCACACTGCTTCACTTTCATGAAGAGGTCACGGATGCCCGTTCAGTTTGAAAAAGTGGAGCGGCTACCAACACATCTCCGTTCCCATGATGACCAGGTGGCAATGGATGATGTGTTCTGCTTGGTGAAGTCAGAGCTTTCGAGCAGCAGTTTGTCACAAGTACCTATCTTGGTTTTGCCAGGCTCCCTACTTGGCAAATCGAAGCGCTTTTTGGAGCTGGCCAAATCCTCCGACCTGTTGGCCAAACCAGTATTTGAACCGGAGAGGAAGGATGAGATCAAACGCTTGGCTGTGGCACTGAAGAGGGATTTTCCTTCGCTGAGGCGCGGGATCAATTGGTACGAGACCCTTTTGGCCCGCTCCGAGGATACAGATGTTGGTCAAGCAACACATTTGTCCTTCCTCAACAATATCAACAATGTGGAAGAGCTGAACCATCATGATTTCCAATGGGCGGCACGACCGGTGCCACCAAAGCCGCACTGTTTGCAAGTGGTCTTCCATCGCAATCGCGATTGAATCGAAAGGCCACATATAGGGGATTGTCCATCGCAACGGCGATGGCGCCAACTGAAAGAGCAATGGGGTCGTCGGGGTTGAAAAAACATGAAAAGCATCCGTGACTTCACTTCAAGAATTTGTTTGCTGCGCATGAATTGCTTCACTTCGTACATCACATGTGAAAGAACACCTTATTTGCAGGTATTTTTGACTGTCAGGTCAGGCTGTTGTGAGGGTTAGCCATGAGTGCACATGAAGCTTCTGATGGTGAAGTGCCTGAGTGCGATCCCATTGGCCAACTGCTGGCGTATTTTGAAACGGTCAACTGGCTGCAAGTGGGCTTCAGATCAAATGCACATTGCCGCAGCCGAGTTGAGCACAACTAAGGTGACCGCCATGAAGAACCTTGGAGATCATATTTCAGAGCGAGTCCAGGATATCTCTGTTCTGGATGATGTGGGATGCTTAAGTTTGAGTGATGTAGAGAATGGACGATCATTTGTTCCTGAATGGCCTTTGTTCTCAGTTGTTCAAAGGCTTTGGACACCTATGTCCCTGCATTGAATACGTTCTCTCGGAAAGCTCATTTGCAGCTTATTCCAGATGTCACTATGGATGAATTCTGGCTGCCTTTGAAGTGCTTTGACATCTCCAAAGATGCCAAGAACGGCTGTCCGGTGGTCCAAAGTTTGGATGAGTTTGTTTATAATTACCATGCATTAGTTCTCAAATATGTTTTGAACATTTGCATCACCCTGATCAGATTTCCCTTCGAATCAGCAATTCAGCATTCACTTTCCAGAGTTCCTGAAGCAGGGCTATCTATGCTCGATGGAAAGCATTCAGTGCAAGTTTCCACATCGAGATGGCTCCCGCACGGTCGAAGACCACTCAGTTGGATTCACAGACGGGCAGACCAAGGTTTTGATCATGATCGCAATAGTGCTCTTCTGCAAAGAACTTGAGTTTGGAGAGAAAGAAATGCAAAATCTTCAGCTTCGGCATGTGCTGAAGTCCTTCGAATCAGTACGCTGCAGTTATAAACACTTCGACAACCCAGCCCACCACTTTTTGGATTCGCTCAGACACTAAGCTGATATGAAAGCCGCACAACGAATCGTGAACCAGTTTCATTGAGCATGCTTGGTTGCTCAGGAATCGGCTACGTCACAGCTGAGAAGATGAGCCCAAGTCCCTTATCCATGGCTGGTGACATGGAACAGGCAGTGGCGATCGAGCGGAGACTTTCTCGCCCCGGTGTGAAGACGGCCCTCCGAGATGTCCTTGGACGCTGCATCGCAGACTATAATCGAATGACAGCTCATCGCCGGCATAAAATTGATTCGGCCCGCCGGGCGATGATATACAACTTGTGACTTGGTGTAATGTGCATTGATTTGACCGATTTTCGTTTGGAGATTGATGGGCGGTTGTCCGTTTTCGAGGTTGAGATCACCACCAGAGCTCTTGAAGCTGTTGCATTCGCATTGGGACCAATACAAACACGAGCTGTCAGGACAGCTTTGCATGAATGCTCTTCACAACTGTTCAGGCCATCAGGTTTTTGCATTTGGTTGCAGGAGTCTCTCACGAGGTGCTCCAGGCTGACTTCCCTGGCTGCAAATCCCGCCTGGAGGTGGATGCATTTCGTGGCAAGGATGTCTTTGCTGAGATTCTTGAGACCACTGCAGAAACGGCCAATCTGTACTTCCAGAGGGCGACCCAGGATTGAAATGTATTTTCTTGCTGGACTTGATTGGATGTTTATAATGCTGTTTATACATTAAACATTGTGCAAGTTTTTTTGATGAGGACTTTGCCAAGAAAGCTCCAATCACTTCGTCAGCCAAAACCAAGGCCAGCCAATGGTTCAGTTTTCAGTCATTGTAAAATGAGTGACCATTGCCCGTGCTTTCATCCTGTCAGAAATCATCGCAATTGGATTTGCCCGCTCATGAAGCGCTTCATGACATCGCCTGCCTTTGGCAGTGGGTGCGGGCCAAAATGGAGCGGGAATTTCCTGCCGATGTGATCAGCCACCATGATGCTTTGTGGCGAGATGGGCACTTCAATTGAATTAAACATTATCTGAAAGAGATGGTGGCAATGATGAACACTTTTACAGGACCACAAAGTTTACATGATGGGTTTGCGAAAATCTTTGCAAACCGATGAGACATTGTGATTGGTTTGCGAAATTGTTTGCAAAACACATCAAAAAAAATCATTGGGTTTCCAGAAACCCCGTCACAATTTGAGGGTGCGAAACTCTTGGAATCAATCACTCCCAAACTTGGCCCAACAACTTCAAATTGTGATTGGGTTTCTAGAAACCCCGTCGCAATTTTGATGTTCTGGAAGGGATCAATCACATTTGGTTCCTATTTTCCAGACCTCCAAATGTGATTGATTCCTATTTTTAAATGATGATTGTGATTGGGTTTCTAGAAACCCCGTCACATTTGGGAGTGTTGGTTCAGGGCTCTGAAAGTGATTGATTCTGACGGGGTTTAGTTGTTTTTAATATTTTCTATATTTTTTTGAATATTTCAGATTTTTTCAATTGTTTTTTTTCAGGCATCTCGATGCGGACCTCCACAGCGTGATGCGGATGGCCGATGGTGGCTTTGATTTTCGGAGGATTCCATTCTTCTTGGAGGCATTGACATTGGATTGAAATTGATTCTAAGGTAGTCTAGATTCCATTCTTTTGGGAGGCATTTTTTTGGAGCTAAGTGTCAGTTCATTCAGTTGTTTTGAATTTCATGCTTTAAACAATATATATTGATATATACTAAATTTGCATGTGTTCATTTCCTTAGGTGTCAGAGTGCAAGCTTTAATACCTGGCATCCCTTGTTCAGGCCCAAGGCAAGTCGATGGAGACCTTCATGCAAGATCATCAAGACCGCTCACGCAATGCCTTGACCAAATCCATGGAAGCAGCTTTTTCATCATGGTGTGAAAGCCTGAAGGCGGACCAGGCTCAGTTTCAGGCAGAGCAGATCTTGCTACCTGACATTTTTCATTTATGGTGCGTCACAATTTGACTTGGGGTATGTTTCTTGGTTTATACGTTTGATGGCTCCGTGCCATGAACAACTGTGAATGATTGATTTGAGGCTTGAAAAAGAGACTGCCAAAAGCAGGGCCAAATTGGTTACGCAACTCCAGGACTGCTTATTTGGATCAGAGTTGTAAGACCGATTAAGCATTATATGAGACAATTTGGGATTGATTGACACGTGATTTTCTGCTTGTCAGTTACTATACACAGTACTTGACAGTTGCAGGAATGTCATGACAGAGCCTGGCAATGTGTGTCCAACTTCCTTGAGAAGAACATCACCATTTTCCAAGGGAAAGTGGCAGAGGGCGAAAGCACGGTCATGCCGGCTAGCCGTGCTTGGGTACGCAATATGGCGACTGATATGGGCAACACATCGGATGATCACAGCATTTTCATCTTCGTCAACTATCCCTCTTTAGGTATCGCGGGTGCGGCAAAGAACGGCTTCCTTTTGAACTATGTTACAAACATATTGTCGGACCATCCGGCCAATGCTGTATGTTTTGTCGTCCATCCAAACCGAGCTGGACAACAAGAGGGGAGGAGTCTTGATTGGAGACACGTGCCCACATGTACGGCAGAACATATTTCACTATTGGTTTTTCATATTTTGCATTATTTTGTAGTACTCTTAGCCAAAAAAAAATTGACAGTAATATAAAGCATTTTTCTGAGATGGTCAATGACAAATAAGTAAAACCTACTTAATAAACAGTCGGCAGTGGAAGGGGCGGAACAGTAACAACCTCTGGTGACCCTGGTGCTTCAAACAACCCTGAGCGAGCATTTTTGCACGGGCCATGACAAACACCTTCTCAATTCAACAAGACCACACCTGCTGGAAAAAAAGGACTCCAACCTTGCCCACTAGAGCAGTCATCGAGAGCTTTCAGGCTCCACCAAAAAGCAACGATGGATGTGTGTGTGTGTAGGTTTATGCAAATTAGCTCAACGTATTGTTCATGAGTCTTCCCACCAGCGCCCTTTCACGTTATCCTCGCCTGGCTCTTTCAGGAGGCCTGACGCGAAGCGGAAGGCTGAGAAGGATGAGGATGATGAGGAGGAGAAACTTTTTGGCAAAGCCCAGCCTGAATCTGACAATGAAGCTCCGGGTGAAGATGACAAGAAGGAAGAGAGTGGCGAGTCCGCTTTGCTCAGGGAGGTCCGGTACAAATTGGAGTTCTTTGACTTATTTAACGCTGGCACATAGCCCATGTCAAGCTCAAAAACGCAGGATGGGTTGTAGTAAATACAATGTTCACTGCAAGATCTTTACCAAATAAATGTTCAAGTAAGTGATTCAAGTCTACCAAGGACAAACTTTGCAGTGAAGGAGCGCAACCTAAGCATGCGCGCCATCACATGGGTTTTTGACCCGGTGACTTGTCTTATCATGTGTTGAATCAAACTGACTGACTGTTAGTCATTGTTACTCATTGTTTTGATACCTCCAAACAAAAGGTTTTTGTCAGACCTAGTCTGCAAATAAGGACACGGTTTATGGCAAACGGGATGGTGTCCTTTCGGGCTTCGCCTTGACACACAACAACGCCCGAAACCATTTAAGACAATCCCGTGGTTGGAAGACTGGAGTGATCCATTCGGTGCCCATGTTGCAAAGGAGCGATATGATCAAACCTCAGGCGCCTGTGTTGCACCTGTGTTGCGCCCACCACAACTCTCGACCCGCTCACCGACACTGCAAGGCCTCGCCACAGACGAAGTCTGCGACGCTCCCCCACCTTGGGCGTGCGATGACGGACATTCAGGAGTTGCGTCAGGTTTCTTTGCTTACTCAGTCTCACTTGGTCGACAAACAATTCACCCGCTTGAAACTGTAACTGTGATCAACCGTTTTTTTCACAAATATCAGGTTGCAGGTGGAACTCCATTTGTTCGAAGCACCATGGATGCCTTCAAGATTCCCACTTCAAAAGCCAACATCCTGATCGATGCTACGGGATATGATGGTTGGGTTGCACGTGCCTGTGTGGAGGACATGTTGGGGTTGATTGACATTGACTGCGGCAATACGATATAGACATTTGATCATATTAAATTAATATTTGTATAAGATAAGAATTGTGAGAATTTGACTGATATCCGCCTGTACAGGAAATCACCGAGGGCAATTCATGTGTATGTGGCACGGTCTGCTTGGATCACTCCGGCCAAAGCTTGTTGAATGGCGTTGCACAAGCTGTCTATCAAGGCTGCCGAGGATCTTCTTTGCAGGTTCCCGGATTCCCTCACTTCGAGCCTATTTTGGCAGCATTGAAACAAGGTCGTGCTGCTGCTGCTAACACATCGTTCCAGGTAACCGTACAACAGGCGGACCGCCTTCTCATTCTAGAGTCTTTGGCAACCAAATGGTTGAGCAGTGAACAAACAAAGGATCGAGCGGAAGAGATTGTGAAGGACCACAATGGTCGCTTCAACCCGGATGGTTCTTTGATGGGTGACAGGCGCACCAAAGACCAAACGCACCTTTGTTCTTGCTCTTTGCAGTCTTGTGTTAAAATCAATCCGTCTACCAGCTGACCATGCCCAGCCCTCAGACTCGTTTACCCATTGGGCCCAGGACCACTTCATCCAAAGAGGATGGTGAAAGCACAGGGGCTCCTACGGCTGATGGCAAAGCTATCAAATTGGAGCCAATCAGTGAAGAAGATCTCCAGAAGTTGCCAAACCTGTCCCTCGTCTCAATCGAAAGTTTGTGTCAAGGTGCTTTACCTTTTACTTTGTTCTTTTTTAGGGAGACTGGGAGACTGCAAGTTGGAGGCAGTAGCCAGTGCAGCCTTGCAGGAAGAGAATGAACATCAACAGCACGCTGGATTTGATTGCATCAGGCGATCCCATGGGAGACCAGCTATTCTTTTCCGCTCGTGGGAAGAACCAAATGTTTGCAAAACGTGAGCTGCTACTCAGACTGTGACTATGACAGCTGAAACATTGTTGAAAATATCATGCATACTATCTACATACTACGTATGATATCTGCACCTGGTCTGGGCTTGGGCTGAGGTTCAGCTTCGGGGGAGGTGAATGGAGAGATGGCGTGGAGCCTTGACTCACTCAGTATTTTTGCAAGAAACTATACTGCTGCTGCAACATTGTCCTCTTAGGATTAGGGGTTCGCTTGGCGTTCGGTGAATGACTTGCCTTGAGCCTGAGTGTTCCTCCCAATGTGTCTCGTGCCCGCCGCGTCGAATTCATCTCTGGTCCTTGTTCATCCACCCACGTCAGGATGCAGATGACATCCTCAACGATCCTGATGGGCGATGGCTGGCATTCAAAATGAAATCTACTGACTTCGTCATTCTCGAGCGGAAGGGAATTCCAGCACACCTGACCAAGTTGGAGAACCTGGAAACCCCGGTGACTTTGCAAAGCATCGTGATTGACCTGGAGGACATGGGTGAGGCCCCGTTCAAACAAATCACTATACGACAACAAAATACTTAAATCAAAATAGATCATTCATACTTGTGCATTAGGTTCAATTATTTGCGATGATTTGAGATGTCAGGCGAACATCGAGCTCTCGCACCATGTGCTATCGCAGGGGGAGTGGAAGCCTTCCAAGAGCTTGGTGTTCTGCCTTGACGATCCACCAAATGCACCCGACAAGAAGAAGGTTAAAAAGGAGAAGGGTGCTAAGCCTGCTGGACCAAACATCACCATGAGGAACTTCGGATCATTTCTGGATGTGTCTAAGATTAAATCCAACTCTTCAACCCTGGTCCTCGCATGGCGTTGCAGGTTGCTCGTCTACAGTTACATATTACTATTGTTACATATGACTGCATATGCATATGACTATTGTTACATATAACTGTCTTGTTGCTTCTGGAACACCAAGTAGTTGTTCGTCTGTTGAGGTTGGAGAGCAAAGGTTCTGGGAGCGATCAAAAGGCCACCAACGTGATTGCGCCCATTCGACCGGTGATGTGTTTGTCTCACCCTGTTGAGGTTGCGGAAGGCAACGTGCGCCTGATCTGAGTGACCATTCATCAAGGTGAATGGTCACTAGTATATCACCTCTCCTATTGTCAGGGTACCTTGTTAAACATAATCATATTACTGTCAACCCACACAGGGAAAACATGTTTCCTTTCTTGTTGTTGCTCAGCCAAGGAGAGGATCTTTTGATGGGACACATGGTCACTCAGAGAGTGCCTTATGGGGGATTCACTCGGCAGCCTTCTTGCAGGGAGTTGCCCACCAAAATAATCATAAATAATCAAAGCTATTATTATGTTCATTGGATGTTCTGCCACTTCTACTATCTGACTCAAAGCTCAAAAAAACCCTCCATTTCTTCGCCCTCCACTCAGCTTCCAAGCAAACGTTCGCTGCCGAGTGAGTGGTCAAGCCGACCAATAAACCTCAAGATGCTCAGTCAAAGAAACACCTTTTGCGGCAAGCTTTGCTTGCAAAGATTCAGGTTGGTTGGCCTCATATATTGATATAAAGTATAATATAATAATGGATATCTGTAGGTAAATGATATTCAATGGCAAGCGATGTCGTGGGCAATCACTGTTGCACACACAAACATTATGTTTATTTAACTTGCATATGCTTGAAATGGTTACGCGAAGCAATGTTCCAGCGCATGTTGTTATGCAAAACATCGGCCATGTTCGACATGTTCGTATTGTCACTGGGTTTTCGTACAACTCATCAGGTTGCCTGCCAGCATTTGGCCTGATAGCCGGGAAGGTGGAGAAAAAACAAGGCAGCCATGGGTGACTCAGATTGTGAAAGCGTTGAGGAGGTGCCTTTGACATGCAGACTGCGGGTACCTGCCCCTTGTTCTTATTCATGACACAACCTCCCGGCTCTAAGAAAGCATGAACATTTCTGGATGCTGTGAAGCTGATGTGTGAAACATGGCAACCTTTGGTTTTGTGACATTTACTACCTGAGGCTTTCGATGTCGGTGGATTACTTGGCGGTGGGGCGAATGCTACTCCACCTCGAATCTCCTCAGCGGTTCCCCCCGGCATCCGCCTCGAAGGCAGCTCCAAAGGCTGCCCCAAAAGCGATGCAGCCTGCACAATCTTCAGGCCAAAAGCAAATTGCAAATCCTTTCTTCCAGTCCAAACAACTGGTCATATTGCAGTAACAGTTATTAACAATCTTCAACTGGATTTTGTTCTGATTCAGGTTCAGCTTCTTGTGGCCACGGACTTCCAGGACGAGTTGATACCGATTCATCCAATGAAGATCCAAAGAAGACCATCGCAGTTCCCAAGGTAAAGGCCACTGCCAAGGGCAGGGGAAGAAAGAAAAAGACCGAAGAAGATGGTGATCAAATGGATGAGGAACATTATCCACTCGGTGGGGGTCAAGATGAAGATGATGAGGATGGTGATGCTGCTGGTGACACATCAGGCAGTGCAAAGGGAAAGACCATGAGGCGCCCCGCTGCTTCTGGTCCACCGAAGAAAAAGCCAGCCAAAAGGCCAAGAAAGGACCCTTTCGTTTGGTTTAGCTGGTCCAAGTTTAAGTTTCAAGTTTCACTCCCCCCCCACCTATTTCATCCTTCGCCGCCCAAATCCAGGACGATGAACCTCATGATGCTCCTGCAGATTTTGCCGAAGCTATCTCGCATGATGGTGACGGTCAACTCTGCAATCCTCCACCATTAAGGCGGTTGAAGCAGCAACTTGACTGTTCATCAGGAAACTTGCATTCATGTTCCAGGTTGAATTCCCTTCCAATATCAATCTAAGGCAGTTTTGGGGTGAAGAGTGCGACAATCAGTTGGGATTGGAAACAAGCCCTGAGCAAAATGATCGAGCACAACATGAGCATGAAGTGATGAAGATTGACCAGGAGTGAGTGATCCGCTGTGTATCTACCCACAACCAACTTGTTGATTTTTCCGAATCAGGAGTCAGGCCTCGAGGTTGCAGAGGAGATGGCGGTCCATGATTCATATCCTGAGATCCCGGACGTGGCTGCTGCTCATTTGAGTGAGTTCCAAGTCACACCAATCCCTTCATATCTATAGTCTATATACATGGTACGTTGTTGCAAAGAAATCAATCTGCAGCAAAACAAATAACCTATCTTGAACATTATGCTCTGCTGTTCACTCTGAGGAGACCCAAATCGAAGAAGGCTCGCCGCATACTTGCGAGATTGAGAAAACCCCTGTGGAATCCGAGCTGTCACCAACATTGATCTTGGGGCAGTCACCACAAGACGAGCAAGAGCCGGATGAGGAGGTGCCATGATGGCAATGGTGCATATAGTATTGAAAAGACCTGTATGTATGTGTCATGCATGCAGCCACTTTCCAATAAACTAATTTGAGGTGCCCTGTGGTGCTGTGGGGGATGCTGCTCAGCCTGGTGATGTGGTGGGCGCGGGCACTGAGACCCCCAGTGCTGATGTGGAGGACGCTGAGAATGCGCAGTTTGCCTCTTCTTTGGCTTTGGCTGCAGAAGAAACATCCAAGCACTTGGAGTTGGCTACCACTGCTGTGAATGCCCAGGGAACCAGTTGGGAGGAAGGGGCTTTTGTGTCACCAGAACTCTTGACATGCACTTGTGCAGCTATCACACAGTGTCTTGATCAAGTCAACCAGATCATTTTTGTGCACGAGGAGGCACAAGCTGAGTATGAGGAGATGCTCAAAGATCCTGAAAAATATGCACAGGACTTGGCTTTGATGAAACAAGAGATCAATCAGGACAACATCACGGAGATGAACGCAGCTATCCTTCGTTTGGAGTCCAGGTATCGCATGCAAAGGGAGGGGAAGCTGGAAGAACCTGCTTCAGTGCGCGTGGAAGATGCTGCAGTGGCCCGATCAAGTTCTGCAGCGGTCTCATCTGGAGTGGCCCAATCAAGTTCTCCAGCGGCCCCATCAAGTGCATCTGTACAAGGGAAGGTGAGAAAAGCCAAGAAAGACCAAGAGACGAAAAGTTCAAGTTCGATCAGGAAGACTCTCAAACGCAAAGCCACAAAGAAGAGCCCCAAGGCAAAGGCAGCCCCAAAGAAGAGCCCCAAGGCAAAGGCAGCCCCAAAGAAGAGCCCCAAGGCAAAGGCGAAAGCCAAAGCTGCGGGGCAAAAGAAGGCGAGGATTGTGGAGCCGGAAGAAATGGACAAGGATGCTTTGCAAAGGAAATTGAGATCCGTATCTTGGCTTCTACCTAGCTTACGCGTCGAGCAAATCACTTGCCAAAGAAAGCTCTTAATGTACCTAGCTTTTGGTTAGATGTACCAAGGTTTACGACACGGCTTGGCACCATGCAGTGATCCCAGAGGGCATAAGCGATGAGGATATGAAGGAGCTGAAGAAGTCAGCCGGAACGGCCAGCAGGCAGCAGCTGCCAGTTGGCATTCATGGGTAATGGGCAATGCGTGCACACATGTTCAATGTCCATCAAATGTGTTATTTATGCGGCAGTATGTTGCACGGTTTCAGGAACAATCAAATGCTATCTAAGGTGGGCGAGGGACAACTACAATCGAGTTCCAGAGCCTTTAAGGGCGTTGCTAGACAAGCATCTCCCTTGACTGAG